AAGGTCCTGTTGGGTGCTTTGGAGTGGGCCCCCCACATAGCTCCAAAACTCCTGTGGGAAGTCCTGCTCAAGACAGGGAGGGCCACTAGAGAGGGAGGTGGGATAGCGAAAGTTTCTAGGAGATCTGGGTAAAGAAGCTGGCCCAGGGAGGGGAGGCAGGTGGGCCCCCTTTCCCTGTCCTTCACCTTCCTAGGGCCCACCCTTCTGGTTGGGAGGAAGGTGGAGAAGTTTTGTGATATTGGGAGGTCTTTCAGTCAAGGTGCCCACAGTTGCCTCTGGAGTGGGGAGGGGTGCTTGTTCCTGCTTGTAGGAGGCTAGACATGGGGTAGAAAGGACAGCATTTTTTCTGGAGCATACTGCTCGGGAGGGTCAGGAGCGCACCCTATGCCACCAGACCTTGGATTTGGCTCCTAGGTGTGGGGTGGGATGGGGGGGGGGTGTGGAACATGCTACTCTGTTTCCAGGAGGGATGCAGGCCCCATAGAGGTGAGGCTGTCAGTCTGGTCACCAGAGGGCACCACTGGAGGTTGAATGACCAGAACAGTTACCTTTTTTTTTCCCTTGATTTTTAAGTAATCTCTACACCCAATGTGGGACTTATACTCATGACCCTGAGATCAGTAGTCCCCTGCTCTTCCCACTGAGCCAGCCAGGTGCCCTGGAACAGAGCAGTTTTGAATGCCCAGGCCTCCTGGAGCCCAGGCTCTGGATACAGTGGGTGTCCACACTAAGTCGGGCAGTTCCCATCAGATAGGTGGTTGGAATTGTTCTCCTGGGCTCTCTGCTTAAGCAAAAATCACTTTAATTTTATGTAACTCTTTTTTTTTTTTAAAGATTTTATTTATTTGTTTTGGTGGTGGGAAGAGCACACACAAGCGGGCTGAGGGAGAGGAGAATGAAAGACTCTCAAGTAGTCTTCATGCCAAGGATGGCATGGAGCCTGACTCGCTTGATCTTATGACCCTGAGATCGTGACCTGAGCGGAAGTCAAGAGTCAGATGCCCAACTGACTGAGCCACCCGCCCCAAAGATCACTTCGGGTTTTTTTTTTTTTTTAAAGATTTTATTTATTTATTTGACAGACAGAGATCACAGGTAGGCAGAGGCAGACAGAGAGAGAGAGAGAGGGAGAAGCAGGCTCCCCGCCGAGCAGAGAGCCCGACGCGGGACTCGATCCCAGGACCCTGAGATCATGACCTGAGCTGAAGGCAGAGGCTTAACCCACTGAGCCACCCAGGCGCCCCGATCACTTTGGTTTTAAAACCACCTCTCATGGTGTTTAAAAGGCTGGGCCAGAGCATGCTTTGCTTTTTGTGGGATGCTAGGAAAAGGGGCCTGGAGGTTGGCCCCGTTCTAGCCTTCCCATGAGCCCTTGAAGCTTTGTAGACTGCCTGGGATCATGGGCAATTGCGGCTCCTTATAGGGCACTGTTCCAGGAGGCCATGGGTCTGTGCCTCTGCCATCCTCATTGGCTTTTCGGCTGGGGTGTTTTTGGGGGACAGGGTGGAGTCATCTTAGGAGTATCCTTGGCCTTGGGCTTTGACTACCTGTTGAAGACCCACAAGGGCTGCCAGGCCAGCATGGAACCAGGAGGGACACAGATTTGGTCCTGTTGTGACCACTCTGCCCTTGAGAGTTTCTTCTTGTGTGCCCAGGCTACGTGAGTGTTAGCTGGTCGGGAGCTGCTGAGAAGGGCATGTCTTGTGGAAACCACTGTTCTTTATCTCTTTGTTGGAATTTTTTTCACTATGAGGCAAAATTTATATGCAACTTGGTTTGGTACCCAGATTCAGGTAACCCCTTGAATTTTGACCAGCGAGACATCCGCTGTAACCCAAACTCCTACCAAGATAATAGAGCCATGTGCAGCCCAGAAAGTTCTCATGCTCCTTCCCAAACAGTGTTCACCTCACCCTCTACAGGGTCTCCTAATTTTGTTCTACCATGGACTAGTTCAGCCTTTTCTAGAGCTTCAAATAAATGGGATTGTGCATCTGTACTCTTGCGTGTAAGGTTTTCTTCACTTAATGTCACAATTTTGAGATTTAACCATATTTGTGCATCAGTTCTACTTTTTTCCCCCAGGATTTTAAAAGTAATACAAGATTATTTTTAATTCTGAATATTACAGAAACTTACAGTTTTCCTGTACTTCTACGCCACACTCTCTGTGATAATCTCGTTTATTGATTGGGCGTTTGTGCTGCCAAGATCTTTCTTTCCATAGGATGGCGTTGCCTGGTCGGGCCTTTCATGCCTATAGTTGAGGAGGTAGACAGGTGCAGGGAGCTCGGCCAGCCGTCCCGGCTCAGCTCTGTGGGCCTGGCCTTCGCTCGGTGGGTGTGTGTTTTAAAAGTCTGGGGTGTCTGGGTCCTGGACCTGCCCTCACCCTCAGAGTGTGTGTTGGGGGGACGCACCTCTGGCTTTTCTGTGGCAGGGACTTGGAGAGGGAGAGAAGGACACGAGAATTCAGCAGAGACCTGTGTGGTTCTCTGTGTAGTAGCCCAGCTGGATAGGTAGACCATTTTGTAAACAAGAACCTGGGAAGGGAATCCAGGTGTTAGAGCCAGGTCTGTCTGTTCGTTCTCCCTAGCTTCTGTGTTCACAAGAAGCTGGAGCTGGCCTTCCCCAGGGACTGTGTTCCTGCTGCCCTTCCCTGGGGTCAGCCTAGCTAGGGTCTTACCCTGCCCCCCACCCCCCACCCAAATGGGCTAGGTCTCTGCCTCAGAGGAGGACCTGATGATCCCGTTGTCCTAGATCCTGGGCTCCTTGGAGCCAGCGCTCCAGTGCGCAACGGTTCTGAGCTGGGTGTGGATCCTCGGGGCTGATAGGCACGCTGCCTGGGCCTGCTGCCAGGGGGCTGCTGGGTGCCAGGAGCTGGTGCCAGGCGGTGTCCTTATCCCAGCCTGTGGGCTCCTGCCAGGGCTGGGCACCAAGCCCCTGTACCCAGTGGGGCACTGCGCTGCCAGCTTATGGGGCCAGCCCCCACAGTCCAATTTCTAGTTACTGGACACCCTGCCTCCCTCCCTGGGGCTGTAGCCTCTCAGGCATTGGCTCCTCTTGCTCCTATACCCGGTGTTGAGCTATAGGGCAGAGGATTCCCTGCTGTTACTCTTCTGGGAAGAAAAGAGCAATGTTTTGTAGGGGTCCTGGCCTCGCAGCAGTGGGGCGCCCCCTCCCCTGTGGGGAGGTTAACATTTTGTGACTTATAGAATGTGGCAGGGGTTTCCCACGTGTGGCCCGGCCTGGGGTGGGAGGCAGGTATGGTGGCATCCTGCTGGCTGTGAACTCCCAGCAGGCAGCCCTGCTGTGGCCCCACCCGTGGAGGGCATCTGGAAGTCCCCTCTGCCCTGTCCTGTGGAGTCTCTGTGGGGAAACTGGGCCCCAGGCTGTCTGATCCAACCTGGGAGACCTTGGTTAGTCACCCTGCCTTCCAGTGGCTGGTGAAGTGGGTGGCAAGGCTGAAGCAGTGGGAACCTGTGGAAGTCCCCGAGTCCTATTCTTCTCTAGCTTTGCGTGGTTCGGTGGTTGTGGGCCTGATCTCTGACGAAGGCAGGTAATCCCTAGCTGCGGGGTCTGGTACGGGCTAAGCCAGGAGCCACTGTGTGGACGCTGTGCCCCGGCAGGGATTGGGTTGCCCAGAGATCTGGTGGGGAGTGGGCAAGGGGGCACAGGGCCGTGTGGCGGGCATCTGGTCAGCTCGAATTCATTGCTGTGGCTCCCTGTTCATTTTTCAGGGTTGCTCTCACCAATGCTAAGGTGGTCTCTGCCCCCCACCCCTTCCTAGCCTGAGTTCTACTCTGTCCTGCTGGCCACCTCGCTACCTCTAGTGTCACCTGGCAGGAGAGCCCGAACTCTCTACCTAGGCAAGGGATCTGGGCCTTCATTAAATGCAGACGCAGATGCTCTCAGGCCTCTGGACCAACGGGGCTGGTTCTGCTGCCATCTGGGTCATGAGGGGGATCCTGGACCAACCATTCTCCCCACCACCACTTCACCATACCCTCCGGCCGCCCCAGGAGAAGAGAGCTGTGCTAGGGGCCAGAGAGACAGCTGGCAGGCTGGAACTGAGGCCTCCCAGCCACCCCGCACCCCGGGTCTGGTCACATTCCTGAGGGACCTGCTGAGCCTCCCTGGCCCTGGGGGTGGGGGAAGGGCAGGCAGGGATGGGCTCCAGGCTGCTGCAGGCCTCCGCCCCCACCCTTGGCTCCATTCCGAGGGAGCCCAGGCTAGCCCAGTGGGGTGCAAAAAGCCAGAACCTCAGGATCGCCCTCTCTGGGACCTGTGTCTCTGGGGTGGGTTGGGGGCAGAAGGAGACCCTTCGCATCTGGCGGCAGCTGCTAGCAGCTTTGGCGGGCTGGTATTGAAAGGCCTGGCCTGCAGAAACTCCTGTGAGGGGAGGCCATGTGGTGAGACTGGGCCAGGCAGGAGGGGGCTGGGCCCTCTGGGCAGGGAGGGGATGGCGGGAGCAGATCAAGAAGGGAAGGAGGCAGGAGAGCCAGAAGCGGTTGAGACTGGTTCTTATAAATAGCCTATTGCACTAGTGCCTCCAATTTTGACCTTTTGTTATGTAAATGTAGCCAACCCGAGAAGGGCCTTGCCCAGGCCTCCTGCCACCAGGCCTGCCTGCCAGGAATTACGTGCCTGCCACCAGCTCCCCTACAGGCCTAGGTAGCCCTTAGAGTGCCCTAAGTCTCCTGGGTGGGAGGACAGTGTCAGCCCTGCTGAGCTCTCCAGACCTGTGACCTTCCCTGCCACTGGGCCTGACTGTTGCTGGGCACTGTGGCTGCTGTCCCCTGCCTGGCTGCCCCTGGTGTCCCAGCCACAGAGACCCCAGATCTTCCTGGGAGTGAGGGCTCTAGGACCACCAGGTGCCCTCCCTTCACTGTCCCTCCTACCCTCCCTTGTCTGTCTGGGTGACTCTGTCCCATCTTCTCCTCCCCAGGTGACCAGGCATTGATGCACCCCCAGGGAGGCCACCCCCGCTGGCTGCTGCTCACATGGTTTCTGGGCCTCTGGCACTCCGGTAGGCTGGGTAGGGGGAACTGGCAGGATGGAGGGAGGGGGGGAGCTTGGGGGAGGGCTCGCTGGGCCGCCCTCATAGCCCTGCAGTTCTCAGCCTGGTCCTTTGTGTGCACACAGTGTTGGGTAGCGTGGAGGGGAGGCTAGGGCCCACAGCCCACGGCCCTCAGCCTGCAGAGGAGGGGCTGCTTTGGCTCACAGGCTCTTGGAGAATGGGACCTCCTGCTCTTGGCTTGTCCTCTTGCCAGCCTGGGAGTACCAGGTATCCTGAGTGCTGGTGGGGCTGACACTGCATTTACCTGAGGCTGGGTGTCCCATCCAGTGTGGAAACTGCATCGGACTCTTTGTCCTGCCTGGCTGGCTGAGGGGCAGGGAGCAGTAGAGGGTAGGTTCCCTCAGGACCCGGGCTCTATCTAGCCTCTGAGCCTGCTGTCTAGCATCAGGCCCTGAGTGCTAGCTTGCAGCTGTGTCTACCCCTGTGGGTTCACAGTGAGTTCTGAGGGTGCCTTTGGGGTATATGTGGGTATTAGGGTTTTCCTCTGTCTTTGCAAATAAGGGCAGGCATGGGGCAATGGGGCATGGGAAGTGTTTGTGTTACCGGAAGACAGCGAGGGTGTGATCTCTCTGACTGCCCCAAGGGAGGCAGGACTGGGCTGGGTACACTGGTAGTGGCAGAGGGGGTCCCAGTGGGGCAAGGCTCTGAGCAGTCACTTTCAGAGATTGAGCCCTGAGCCAGAGGACCTGAAAGCACCCTTGTCAGCTGCATGGCACAGAGTTGCCTTTGGGAGGGTGCATGTCCCCTGAGGGGCTGGAGGGAGTAGGGAGCCACACCTTTGTGCCTCAGGTCCCGCTGCTCATTTGGGTGTGTGCCTGGTCAGAGCACCCCACTCTCAGTGACCCAAGTGCATGCTGTTAGAAAGCCCACCTGTACGGTTCCTGTGGGGGTCAGAGGCCTCTCTCTATTAATGACGTCAGTTAGTGTCTGTGCTGGTCTGGGAAGGCCAGCTGGCTGCCTTTCCCAGGGGCCCGGTGGTGCCAGGGGCTTGATCAGGCCCACTTTGCTGCTCAGCATCTAGAGACCCGGACTGGGGTGCTCAGGGCCCTCCTGGGGGGTGAGGCGCTTGTGGGATGGAAGCAGGCATTGGCAAGGGACTGCGGCTGGACCACAGTGTCTGCAGGCAGGACTGTGACGTTGGCAAATCCGAAAGCTTGGGAAGCCACTAGGGTTTGAGAAGCACCCAGGGCAGGGTAGAGGTCACAGGTGGAGGCTGCTTATTTGATTTGGCCCAAGTGGTATTTAAGGAAAAAGGACCTTTATTTGGCATTGGGAGGATTAACCTGAAAATCTCAGTTTCTAGCTTGTCCTAAACTTTGGGAAGTTTATGCCCATGTGAGAAGTGAGCCCACCTGGGAACTTCTGCTCACCTCAGTCTTTTACTGCTTCCCAGCACCTCATGGTCCACTGCTTGTCATTTTTGAGTCCCCTGTGGGCTCTCGGCCAACTTCCTTAGCGTGGAGACGGTGCCCTGGGCTATGGAGCCCAAGTTACATCCCATTTTCTCTGCTCAGCATCACGTGATCATTGTCCTCTGCTTCTGTATACATGGGACCAGAGCCCATGACCCTCTTTGGGCAGCACGAGTTCCCATGGGTAGTGTGAGTTCCCTCCCTGGGTCCCATGCCCAGTGAGCCCCCCCCCCCAGCACCACCACAGCCCCACCCTGTCAGCCCTTGCCTAGGGCTCCCGGGTGGCTAATGCCCATGCACCTACTCTTGCCTGCAGGTGGTACGCGTGGGCGGGGCGTGGGGACATGGGGCCCGACATGGAGCTGCCCAGCCACTCCAAGCAGCTCCTGCTGCAGCTGAACCAGCAGAGGACCAAGGGCTTCCTGTGTGATGTCATCATCATGGTGGAGAACTCCATCTTCCGCGCCCACAAGAATGTCCTGGCCGCCAGCAGCATCTACTTCAAGTCTCTGGTCCTGCATGACAACCTCATCAACCTGGACACAGACATGGTCAGCTCCACGGTGTTCCAGCAGATTCTGGACTTCATCTACACGGGCAAGCTGCTGCCCAGTGACCAGCCGGCTGAGCCCAACTTCAGCACTCTCCTCACTGCCGCCAGCTACCTCCAGCTGCCCGAGTTGGCAGCGCTCTGCCGCCGTAAACTCAAGCGAGCCGGCAAGCCCTTCGGCTCTGGACGGGTGGGCGCCTCTGGCATGGGAAGGCCACCCCGCAACCAGCGGCTGTCCACGGCCTCTGTCATCCAGGCACGGTATCCAGCGCTCGTGGACGGACGCAAGGGGGCCCACACCCCCCAGGAGCTCCCCCAGGCCAAAGGCTCTGATGATGAGCTCTTCCTCGGAGGCTCCAGCCAGGAGGGTGTCCATGGCCTGGGCCGGGCCGTCTGTCCAGCCAGCGGGGAGGCCGGCTTGGGCAGCTGCAGCACCAATGGGAGCAGCGGGGGCTGTGAGCAGGAGCTGGGCCTGGACCTGTCCAAGAAGAGCCCACCCCTGCCCCCTGCCACCCCCGGTCCTCCCCTGACCCCTGACGACCCGGCCCAGCTGAGTGACAGTCAGCACGGCTCGCCCCTCTCAGCCTCCGCCCCTCCTGTTGCCAACAGTGCCTCTTACGTTGAGCTGGGGGGCACCCCTAATGAGCCCATGGATCTGGAGGGGGCCGAGGACAGCCACCTGAGCCTGCTGGAGGGGCCCGGTGGGCAGCCCCGGAAGAGCCTACGGCACTCGGCCCGCAAGAAGGAGTGGAGCAAGAAGGAGCCCAGGGTTGGGTCCCCCTTTGAGCGGAGGGAAGCAGGGCCCAAGGGCCCCTGCCCGGGGGAAGAGGGCGAGGGGCTAGGGGACAGGGTTCCCAATGGCATCCTGGCCAGCAGCGTTGGAGGGGGCGGTCCCAGTGGGCCCTACACGGAGCCCCCATACCCCTGCAAGGAGGAGGAAGAGAATGGCAAGGACGGGAGTGAGGACAGTGGGCAGAGCGGGAGTGAGGGGGGCAGTGGCCATGCTGGCACGCACTACATGTACCGGCAGGAGGGCTACGAGACCGTGTCCTATGGGGACAACCTATATGTGTGCATCCCCTGCGCCAAAGGCTTCCCCAGCTCCGAGCAGCTCAATGCCCACGTGGAGACACACACGGAGGAGGAGCTGTTCATCAAGGAAGAGGGTGCCTACGAGACGGGCAGTGGGGGTGCCGAGGAGGAGGCCGAGGACCTGTCGGCACCCAGCGCGGCCTATGCGGCCGAGCCCCGGCCCTTCAAGTGCTCGGTGTGTGAGAAGACCTACAAGGACCCGGCCACGCTGCGGCAGCACGAGAAGACGCACTGGCTGACGCGGCCCTTCCCCTGCAACATCTGCGGCAAGATGTTCACGCAGCGCGGCACCATGACGCGCCACATGCGCAGCCACCTGGGCCTCAAGCCGTTCGCCTGTGATGAGTGCGGCATGCGCTTCACACGCCAGTACCGCCTCACCGAGCACATGCGTGTGCACTCGGGTGAGAAGCCCTACGAGTGCCAGCTCTGCGGGGGCAAATTCACCCAGCAGCGCAACCTCATCAGCCACCTGCGCATGCACACCTCCCCCTCCTAGAAGCCAAAGACCCTTCTCCCCGGCCTGAGGCTGCCCTCCGCAGACCCGCCCTTGGGAGCCCACCGAAGGAAGGAAGACGCGTGGAGGCCGGGCGGGAGGGGCTGGGACCCCCAAGTCCCATGGGGATGGCTCCTGGTGGCACCCTCAGCCAGCCCCCCCCCACACCCAGAGCTTTAATGGACAGTCTGTACAAGGGCAGCGAGAGGAGGGAAGCCGATGGGCCCGAGTTCCGAGTGCGCATTGCTGGCGTGCAGTCTACCTCCCGATTCCACCCCGGCTCCCCGGGAGGGCCGCTGCAGAGTCTGGGGGAGTGGGTCACAGGGGTCTCGCTGGGACCTGGCCCCCTTCCCGCAGGCCGGGTCCGAGCAGGGGGCCGTGGGGCCTCCCTCCGCTGGGGAGGAACAGGGCTGTCCCGTGGCCAGGGGCGCTGTCTGTGTGCGTGCACGAGTGCTTGTCTGTGTGCGGGCCACCCTGGCTCTTTGGGGAGTGGTGCTGGAGGGAACGGGACAGAGCCCTCCTTCCTTGAGCCAGTGGTCACTGCTCACTGGCGCTGGGACAGTCAGGGGGCCCCCGCCGCCTACCTCTCCACAGCTAAAGAGCCCTCTGGGCCTATGTTGCTGTTATTCCTACTGATCTGTTCCTTTTTTCTTTTTGAATTTTGTTTTTTAAACCAAAACCAACAAGAGTTTATTTTCCTCCCGGCCCCTCGGGGCTGAGCCTGGGTCTGCAGACTGAATGTACAGGGGCAGCTGCCCCTCCCGCCCCCTGCCCGGCTGCGGGCTGAGGGGCGCCCACCCCTCCAGGCCCCAGAAGCCCTTCTTGGCCAAAGGCTTCCCTGGGCCCCGAGCCCTGCCTCGGCTGCCTCAGGAGAGAGTGATTTTCCTATAGTTTCTGAGGAATATTCTTTGTTTAGAGGTACTTCTTTTTTATTAAGAGAAAAACCAGTGTAACGTTTATGTGAATGTTGGAACTGGAAGGTCTGGGATTTGTGGGGGGAGGGGGGGGAGGCTGGATTCGATGCCAGAGCCGTCGGTACTCTTCTTTATCATTTTGTGTGTGTGTGTGTATGTGTGTGTGTGTGTGTGTATGTATGTATGTAGTGTGTGTGGCGCATGTGGACAGATATCGAGCTTTCCTTCCTTCCTTACCGATAAAGGTGGAGAGACTTCTGACCTTTTGCTACCTCTTGAATCCACAAGAACAGTATGTCGGTGGCTGGCAGCTGAGGCCATGACACTTGTTTTCCTCCTGTTAGTGCGCACAGGAAGACGTGCGTTTGAGTGAGCTGGGCTTACCCTCCTGGGCAACCCCCCCATCCCCACTCCCACCCCCAGCGCTCTCAGAGAAGGGCTCTGCTCCCTGGAGCATACCACTTGCCGTGTCCACCCTGTGGGTGTTCTGAGTGTGTTGCTGTGCATCAGGGAGCCTGTGTGTGCCCCTGATCTGGGCCTGAGGGGCGGGGGGGGGGGGATGCTCCAGCCACGTGGGAGAGTGGGCCGTGGGGCCTCACCGCTGGAGCCAGCTACTTGGAGCTCCCTTGCTGGGGCCAGGATGAAGTGGAAGTGAGCCCCCCCATCCTGTCCCTTGGGAGAGCAACAGGCCAGTGCAGAGGCATGGAGGGACACTGACCAAAGTGATGTAAACCCCCACCCCCCACCCCAGGGGACAGGGAGGAGGCCTGCCCTGCTTTGGCACCTTCTTGGGGCGGTCCTGGCTGCTCCGGCAAGAGGCTGGATGCCATTAGTTGGCTAAGCCCTGTCTGGAGTCCCCACCCCTCACCCCTCAACGTGGGGTTTCTCTCTCAGCCTCAGGACCCTTCTGTGGGCCAGGGGTCAGGCTCACAAGCCCCAGACCAAGGTCGCTGTGGTTGGCCCCACTATCTTTGGCTGACTGGAGCCACACGGCTGGGCCAGCAGCTGAATCTTCATTTTGCTTCATGCTTTTCTTTTCTTTCTTTATTTTTTTTTTCCCTTTCTACTCTTAAGTTCAGACCAAAAAATTTCCAGAGTCATCCTTTACCCTCACCCCTCCAGAGACTCTCCAGCTGAAAACAGCCTGAGTTTAGGGACCCAAATGGTGCAGGGTGTGTTTTGCAAGTGAGGGCTCCTGGCTGAGCCCATCTCAAGGTGCCCCAAGCCCCAAGTTGGGTCTTACTCCCTCTGGGTGGGAAGGGAGCACTGGACCCAGGGTCTCGTGTTCCCAGAAGTCAGGTGGGGGGGGTGGGCAGGGTTCTTTCCAGGTCTCTGCCCTCCCGACCCCACCTCACTCCGTCAGCACTTAAGCCACATGACACAAAGTCTGTACAGCACGGGAGTTGTACGCATGCCTGTGTGTGGCCTCTTGGGCCGTGGGCGGCTGCATCTGTGAGGTGGCCCGTGAGAGCAGGTGATTGATTTGCAGAGCTTCAGGGACTGGGCGCAAAGGCCCCTCACTCAACGACGTTCGTGCGACATAGTATTGTATCCACCTGAGTATTGTATCGAGCCTTTTCTGTATTTTAACAAGAAAGCAAAACACTAGTTTCCTATTTAAGATTTTAAGGGTTTGTGGGGAGGGATGGGACTGATTAACACAACACTTGGTTTTGTTTTCTTTTTCCTTTGATTTCATGTGGAGTGTGTGCTTGGGAGTGTGTGCGTGGACATGTGTTAAGAGCCTCACAAGGAAATTAGGCCGTTGGAGGCCAAGGGCGGCTTACAGTTCTCTGCTTTAGTCACTTAATTCCTGAATGTTTCGGAGAAACAGGAAACAGAAAATAGCAGATGTCATGTAGGAAAGAGGATAAACAAAACAAAAAAAAAAAAAAAAAAAAAAAGAAAAAAAAAGCTCATACCCAAATTCACAAAACCTATTTTTTAAACCAAAGCACATTTTGAATGAGTATGGAACCTCAATGGGCTCAGAAAAAAAGATACTAATATATTTATCTCATTGTTTACATAAACTTTTACAGTTTCAGACCTCAGCAGCTGTAAGGCCAGTCCCAGTGAATCCCCACCTTCCGCTGGAGGCCCTTCTGAGTCGGCTCATGGGCAGAGGGGCTGCTGTGGGGCTGGCGCTGGCATGGAGCTCCCCATCGGATTTACCTGAGCCCTCCTCCCCAGCCCCGGGCCTCTCAAAGCCCAGCTGGCACCAAAGAGCTTGGGCCGGTGCTGACCGGTCTCCAGGCCTCCTGGCCGGACTGTGGAGGTCCTGGCCAGCTGGCATAGCACGGGGTGGCCGTCGGCTCTGGCCTCAGGACCTGAGTCTGGGCTAGGGCCCTGGGTGGAGGGTCACCCCCCACCTCCCCCACTCTGCCTGCGACCCTCCGGGGTAGGTTGATGTGAGGGTCCCTATCAAGCCAAAAAGCCCCGGGACCTTTGCACAGCTCCATGGACTCCAGTGGGTCCCCACTCCCAGGGGACACCCTACCCCCACCCAGCAGTGGGGGTGGGGGCGGGCTTACTGGGCTGGTCCTTACCAACACAGACGGTGCAAACACTCTGAACAGTGTTGTTTTTGTATCAATATGTTTGTGCAGTGATGAATGTATTTATTTCTCAGACTTGGGGTGAGTGAGCGGCTGGCTCCGCCACCGCTTGCTCCCGCCAGACCGAGCCACCTCAAGGGCTCCTCCAGGATTGCAAAAAAGGTAAAAAAGAAAAGACGAACCTTTAAGCAAATAAGAATCTCAGAGACTCGCAGCATAGCCATACACCTCAGCCTGTGAAATGAACAATCTGGATGCAGACGGACTTTGGAACCTCACGCAGCCATGTGTGTATTTCCCGTTCGTCACCACTCGGGGGAGCTGGGCTGTCCCGCTGTACCCCCACCCCCACCCTGTCAGTATTCACTGGACTGGCCCACGTGCAGGAGTGCGATCTGGGCTGGGCTGGCTGGGCAGGCAGACCCTACTGCCCTCCCCACAGCTGTCCTTGAATGGGGGAGGCCTGGGCAGCCAGGAGGGCAGGGCTCAGGGAAGAGTTGGCTGCATCCGTCCGCCCCCTAGGAAGGGGGGCAGGAGCAGAGGCACTAGGCCTCCAAAGAACAGACAAGGGATCTAAGCCCTGCTGTGCCCCTCAAAGGGACCAAGGCCCTTGCTCTTCCCCAGAGTCACACTGGGGCAGATGTTACTGAACCTGTGAATCCAATGCCAGGAGTGATGGGGTGGAGAGGGACCTAACCGGAGCCTCAGTGTGACATTCCAGTTGGGGAGTGGATGTGCGCTGTGGGAATTGAGGCTGCCCAGGACCCCCTTCCTAGGACCCCTCCCCCCCACCCAGCTTCAGTCACCACTTTAATTTTTCTACCGAGAACCCGTCCCCCTACCTCACCTTGCTATTTATTGCTGTAATTTATTGACCTCAAAAATGCTGCATAACAGACCTCACTTGGGGCAGGGAGGATCCCCAGGGCTCCCCCCCTCCACTTGGCGGGGCCCCGTGGGGCCAGGTGCTGAGGGGAACCTCTCTGTATCCCGCCCATCACTTGTTTTCCCCCTTCCCCCTTCAGGGGACCCCAGGTTGGGCGCCTGCCCATTCACAAATACCTCGAGAGGGAGGGGGAGGGATGGGATTATAGCTGTTTTGTTTAATCAAAACTGGAAGAGGGATCACGACCTACTCTCTTCCCTTCCCAGAAGGGGGAGGGACACCGTGATCGCACTCCTGTACTGGCCACCGCCGCTGTCAGTCATCACATCGAGCTCACTTCCTTTGAGAGTTTGGATAAATTCAGGTCAGAGCTGCAGGTATGCAGCCCTCAAGTGTCATAGAAAAGCAATTCACCGACGACTGATCTCTCCATTCAGAAGCGTGCAGTCTTAATGTACAGTGATGAGAAACTGTTATTTTATGATCTTTTCATTAAAAGCTTGATTGAAAACTTCTTTCTGTGGGGCTTCTGTGTTTTCTGGTGGTTCTTGCTAAATGACACACTGCTTTCCTGTGTCCAGCACTTCAAAGACCTAGAAGGGTGGGGAGCTGGGATGGGCATCACTACCATGCTAAGAGTGGGTTTCAGGTGGGGCTGGGACCATGCTAGGCCACATGTGTGCATCTGGGGCTTGGGCACTGGTCCAGGGACCCAGTATTCTGGAGTCACCATCCTCTTGGGTGATGCTGGCCTGGTTAAGCTAAGAGGGTTTAGGGAGCAGTGGATATGTCGCAGGGACAGGGACCTGGTCGACTGGATGAGGGGAGGTCTGGCCCATGCTCAGGACCACCTGTTGGAGTAGCAGAGTCAGGCTGGGGCAGGGCAATGGCTCTCTCCTGCCCACTGCTCCTGTTCTGCTTGAGGTCAAGCGGGGGAGGAAGGAAAGGATAATCTTAGTCTCCAGGGACAGTGGTTCCAGTTTCCTCTGGGACTGTCCCACCCACCCACTGGAGTGGGAATTCCAGGATGAGTGAAGATCCAGGAGGAGGAGCAAGGATGGGGCCATGAGGGTGGTCAGCCAGCCTAGACCTCTGACTGTGGGCTTCAGATGTCCAAGTGGCTCCAGGCCAGCAGCAGATGAGCCCAGGACCCCAGAACCCCAGAAGGATAGAGCATCGCTGCTCTAATACATGGTAAGTTTCATTCAGTTCTTTTTATGTTTTTGAATGTGTGTGTGTGTTTTAAGTAATCTCTGCACCCACTGGGAGCTCGAACTTAACCGAGATCGAGTCACATTCTCTACTTACTGAACCAGCCAGGTACCACCTGTTCTATATATTTTTTAAGATTTTTTTTTTTTTAAAGATTTCATTTATTTATTTGACAGAGATCACAAGTAGGCAGAGAGGCAGGCAGAGAGAGAGGAGGAAGCAGGCTCCCTGCAGAGCAGAGAGCCCGATGCGGGTCTCGATCCCAGGACCCTGGGATCATGACCTGAGCTGAAGGCAGAGGCTTTAACCCACTGAGCCACCCAGGCACCCAAGATTTTATTTTTTATTTGAGAGAGAATGAGAGGGGGGAGGGTCAGAGGGAGAAGCAGACTCCCCACTGAGGAGGGAGCTT